CAATAGCTCACTGCATCTCCAAACTCCTGGGCTCAAGGGATCCTACCACCTCAGCCTCCTGAGTAGCTGGGACTACAGGCGCACACCAAGACACTGGCTAATTTTTAAAAATATTTTGTTGGGACAGTGTCTCACTATGTTGCCCAAGCTTGTCTCAAACTCCCAGGCTCAAGCAATCCTCCTGCTTCAGCTTCCTAAAAGTGTTGGGATTACAGGCTGCGTCACTATATCTGGCCTGAATATCAATTTGGTTAGGCTAAACTAGAAGGACTGAAGAGAAGGCAGCAATCTTATGTATGACATATTCACCTCCTCCCAGTCATTCAATCAAACCCTAATCTAGGGCTGCTGTGAAGAGATTACAGATATAATTCAAGTCCCTGGTGGTCAACCGACATTGGTCTAAGGAGATAAGCCTGGGTGAGCCTGACTCAATCAGTAGAAATCCTTTTAAAAAGATTTAGGCCTGGCAAAGTGGATCAAACATGTAATCCCAGCATGTTAGGAGGCCAAGCCAGGCAGCTTGCTTGAGCCTAGGAGTTTGAGACCAGCCTGGGCAACATGGTGTAACTCCATCTCTATTTTAAAAAATTAAAAAATTTAAAAAATAATAAAAAGATAGGCATGCCCTGAGTCAAACTCCAAAGAACAGCTGGATCTACAACTGCTCTCAATTTTCTAGTTCTTCCCTTCTTGACAGCCTGCCCTACAGACCTTGGACTTGCTTTGCAGCCCCTTCCATTGCATAAGCCAATTCTTTGTAAAAATAATAATAATAATAATAATAATAATAATAATATACACATACATATATCTATATATGGATATAGATGATATATATTATCTCTTACTGGTTCTGCTTCCCACTTTGAAACCTGACTGATACAATGTACATCTTTTTTTTTTTTTTTCACTTTTAAAAATAATTTTATTTTAAAGACAAAGTCTCACTATGTTGGCCAGGTTGGCCTGGCCTCAAGCAATCCTCCTGCCTTGGCCTCTAGATGTGCTAGGATTATAGGAGTGAGCCACCACACCTTGCCAATGTACATATTTTTAACAGCCAATGTTTCCAAAAGTATGTTCTTTTACAAGAACAGATTCCTCTTGAGCTAATACAAATAAATATATTGTCATAAAATAAGAATACTCATGAATCGTTTCCTAATTCTGGAGATACCAGGTAGAGAAAAAGGTAAATATTTCAATTTTACTCACAAAATATACCAAATGGTTACCAAATTGCTGTAAAACTACAGATAATGCAGAGAAAAAAGTTTTCTTAACTCTGAAAGAAAAAAAATTAAAATGTCAGCAACCTTTCAAGCAAAAAAAGTCAGTAAAATCAAGATGGCTGATCACTAGCAGTGTAACTCCCAGTGAAATTGTAGCTCCCAGTGAAAGCGCAAAGAACGAGAGGACGCCACACCTTCACATGAATTCCTGTTGCTCACGCACCAGGAGATTCCCAGCGGAGGAGCCCCACGGGTCGCCAGCGCGACTCTTGTGACCGGTGAGGCGGTTTTGCCGGCGCCTCGGAGCATCGGTTCTTGGTGCAGAGTCAGAAAAGCACCATCAATCTTTTTTTTTTTTTTTATTGCATTTTAGGTTTTGGGGTACATGTGATGAACATGCAAGATTGTTGCATAGGTACACACATGGCAGTGTGCTTTGCTGCCTTCCGTCCCCTCACCTGTATCTGTCATTTCTCCCCATGCTATCTCTTCCCACCTCCCCACCCCCCCGCCCCTCCCCCATTTCCCCCCAACGGACCCCAGTGTGTAGTGCTCCCCTCCCTGTGTCCATGTGTTCTCATTGTTCAACACCCGCCTATGAGCGAGAATATACAGAAGCACCATCAATCTTAACGCCGCTGATTTAGTCAGCGCAGTGGGTTGCTCAGATTTCGGCGCTGAGAATCAATAAGTTGGACGTCCACTCAGAAACCCAATTACAAAGACAGTAATTATAAAGACCACAGATGGATAAATCTACAACGAAGGGAAGAAAACAGACAAAAAAGGGTGAGAATACCCAAGATCAGAACGCCTCTCCCTCAGCAGGGGATCCCAGTTCCTCATCAGCAACAAAGCAAGGCTTGATGGAGAACGAGTGGGTTCCAATTACAGAAGCAGGCTTCAAAATGTGGATAATAAGAAACTTCTGTGAATTAAAAGAACTTGTTCTAATACAATCCAAAGAAACTAAGCACTTTGAAAAAAGGTTTGACGAAATGTTAACAAGAATACACAATTTTGAGAGGAAAATAAGTGAATTGATGGAGCTGAAAAACACAATACGAGAACTACGTGAAGTATGCACAAGTTTTAACAGCCGAATTGATCAAGCAGAAGAAAGGATATCAGAGGTCGAAGACCAACTCAATGAAATAAAACTAGAAGACAAGATTAGAGAAAAAAAGATAAAAAGGAACGAGCAAAGTCTCCAAGAAATATGGGACTATGTGAAAAGACCTAATCTGCGCTTGATAGGTGTACCTGAATGTGACGAAGAGAATGAATCCAAGCTGGAAAATATGCTTCAGGATATTATTCAGGAAAATTTTCCCAACCTAATAAGGCAGGATAATATGCAACTTCAGGTAATACAGAGAATACCACAAAGATACACCTCAAGAAGAGCAACCCCAAGGCACATAATCGTCAGATTCACCAGAGTTGAAATAAAGGAGAAAATACTAAGGGCAGCCAGAGAGAAAGGTCAGGTTTACCCACAAAGGGAAGCCTATCAGACTTACAGCAGATCTCTCAGCAGAAACCCTACAAGCCAGAATAGAGTGGGGACCAATATTCAACATCCTTAAAGAAAAGAACTTTCAACCAAGAATTTCACATCCAGTCAAACTAAGCTTCATAAGTGAAGGAAAAATAAAGTTTTTTTGTGAACAAGCAAGCACTCAGAGATTTCATCACCACCAGGCCTGCTTTACAAGAGCTTCTGAAGGAACCACTACACATAGAAAGGAACAAACAGTATCAGCCTTTCTAAAAAATACCAAAAAGAGCATCAATATAATGAAGAATTTACATCAACTAATGGGCAAAATAGCCAGCTAATATTAAATGGTATTAAACTCACATATATCATTATTAATTCTAAATTTAAATTGACTAAATCCCCCAATCCAAAGACAGACAGGCAATTTGAATAAAAAACTAAAACCCATCAGTATGCTGCATCCAGACCCATCTCATATTCAAGGATACACAAAGACTCAAAAAAATGGATGGAGAAAGATTTACCAACCAAACAGAGAGCTAAAATAAATAAACAAAAAGCAGAAGTTACAATTTTTGCCTCTGATAAAATAGTCTTTAAAGCAACTAAGATCCAAAGAAGCAAAGAAGGACATTATATAATGATAAAAGGATCAATGCAACAACAAGAAGAGCTAAAGATCCTAAATATATATGCACCCAATACAGGAATACCTAGACATACAAGACTAATAAAGAGACTTAGACTCCCACACAATAATAGCGGGAGACTTCAACATTAATATTAGACAGATCAATGAGACAGAAAATTAACAACGATATCCAGGACTTGAACTCAGATCTGGAACAAGTAAACGTAATTAACATTTATAGAACTCTCCACTTTAAATACACAAAATATACATTCTTATCAGTACCACATCATATCAACTTAGAAGTTTAAACGAAATGTTGGTTGGCTCCTTGTTTGTTATTCTCTTCCCTCATTTTCTTTTATGTCTCCATTATTAAGGACAATTATAGGCATACCCATATTTAGACTGCATTCTAGCCTGGGCAATAAAGCAATACCCCCATCTTCTCTCCCTCTTCCTCTTTCTCTTTCTTCATCTTCTTTATTCTTTTTCTTAAAAAAAAAAAAAAGTCAGTAAAATCATTTCTGTCCTCATCAGTTCAGTCCCATGTAATTAATTTTTGTTCTACTTGATAAATTAGACATCTTAGGTCCAGTTTTCACCTTGCAGTTTTTCAAGTTCTTATCCAGTCCAACTGAATAATCAACAGATGCCTGTATTCCAGAGTATGTAACAGAGATTTTTATGCTTTTCATAAACCTCTTTATCCTTTTCATAAACCGCTTTGAAGACACAATACTTAAGGATTATATTTGCTTGCAAGGATCATTTAGAAGAAACATCAGAATAAAGCAATTTACTATGAACAACAAGATTTAGAATGGCTGTGGTGAAAGACCTGGTAAAAGTTTACAACAATAATGAAATTGACAAGGAAATTTGCTTTTTTTTTGTAATCTACAAAAGTTTTACATAGTAGCCATAATTATGACTGATAACATATACAAAGACACATATTTTTAGGAATCTCATATACTTTTAAAAAACATATTAATAATATGTTCATATAAATGTAATGCAAAGAAGGTTTTCCGTATAATTTACTTATCAAATAAAGAATAATATGTCTTTCTTAGACTTCTAGGGCCATTCTAGGATAACATAAGATTAGTTTGAGGCCAAAAAGACTAAATAATTTAGAATTTGAAATTTGATTTTGGGAAGGCTGTCAAGTATGTCAAAGGATAAAAACACTCAAATAAAATAGAAAAGGCCAGGCTCAGTGGCTCAAACCTATAATCCCAGCACTTTGGAAGTCCAAGGTGAAAGATCACTTGAGCCCTGGAGTTTGAGAACAGCCTGGGCAACATAGAGAGATGCTGTCTCTACAGAATATTTTTTAAAACTTAGCCAGGCGTTGGTGGTGTGTGCTTGTGGTCCCAGATACTTGAGACACTGAGGTGGGAGGATTGCTTAAGCCCAGGAGGTCGAGGCTGCGGTGAGCTATGACTGCACCACTGCACTCCAGCCTGGGTGACAGAGTGAGACACTGTCTCAAAAAAATTTTTTTTAATGAATACAAACTAGGAAAGTTTTAAAACATTTTATCAAAATAAGATTACAGGTCACTGTAAAGTATCAGTCATTCATTTAGCTAAAGTGATAATCTGAAAAATTTTACAAAGCAGTGCTCATTTCAGCAGCACAAACACTAAAGCTGAAATGATACAGAGAAGATTAGCATGGCACCTGAACAAGAATGACACAAACATTTGTGAAGCATTCCACAGTTTTTTTTTTTTTAAGATTTTATAAAGCAAAATCCTTCGCTTTTTGATAGAGAGAAGACTCAGTTTTCCAAATAATGAAAAGATCTAACAAAGAGAGCAGGGCCAGATCCAGTGGCCTGTGCCTGTAATCCCAGGTACTCAGGAGGCTGAGGTGTGAGCATCACTTGAGCTCAGAAGTTCAAGGAGGCAGTGGGCTATTATGGTTGCACCTGTGAATAGCCAATGCACTCCAGCCTGGGCTTTTTGTTGTTGTTGTTTGTTTTTGAGACAGAGTTTCGTTCTATCACCAGGCTGGAGTGCAGTAGCACGATCCTGGCTCACTGCAACTTCCATTTTCCGGTTTCAAGCAATTCTCCTGCCTCAGCCTCCCGAATAGCTGGGACTATAGGTGCTCACCACTGTGACTGGCTAATTTTTTGTATTTTTAGTAGAGACAGAGTTTCACCATGTTAGCCAGGATGGTCTCGATCTCTTGACCTTGTGATCTGCCTGCCCTGGCCTCCCAAAGTGCTGAGATTACAGGCGTGAGCCACCGTGCCCGGCCAGCCTGGGCTTTTTTAATTAAAAAATGTAATCAGGCCAGGTGCAATGGGTCACGCCTGTAATTCCAGCCTTTTGGGAGACTGAGGCAGGCAGATAACTTGAGATCAGGAATTCCAGGCCAGTCTCGCCAGCATGGTGAAATCCGGTCTCTACCAAAAAATATGAAAATTAGCTGGGCATGGTGGTACACACCTGTAGTTCCCGCTACTCGGGAGGCTGAGGTGACAGAATCGCTTGAACCTAGGAGGCAAAGGTTGCAGTGAGCCAAGATCATACCATTGCACTCCAGCCTGGGCAACAGAGCGAGACCCAGTCTCAAAAAAAAAATTTTTTTTTTTAAAATATTTTAGACAGCATGAGGCACACAATCAGTTTCTCTCTCATCTTTCTTTTGCAATTTACTCAAAAAGTGAACAAAATCTTTTACCATATTTTATTTTCTTTTATCTTTTGAGACAAGTTCTGGCTCTGTCACCCAGGCTGGATTGCAATGGTGCAATCTCAGCTCACTGCAACTTCAGCCTCCCAGGCTTAAACTATCCTCCCACCTCGGTCTCCAGACTGAGGACTAGAGTGCAGTGCCTGCTAGGACTACAGGTATGAACCAACATGCCCAGCTAATTTTTGTATTTTTGGTAGAGACAGGGTTTTGCTGTGTTGCCTAGGCTGCTCTCGAACTCCTGGGCTCAAGCAATTTTTCTGCCTTGGCCTCCCAAAGTGCTAGGATAACAGGCGTGAGCCACCATGACTGGCTTACTATCTTTTATTAATACTACCAGAAGGCCAGGTGTGGTGGTTCACGCCTGTAATCCCAGCATTTTGGGAGGCTGAGGCAGGTGGATCATGAGGTCAGGAGTTCAAGACCAGCCTGGTCAACATGGTGAGACCCCTGTCTCTACTAAAAATACAAAAATTAGCCAGGCGTGGTGGTTGGTGCCTGTAATCCCAGCTACTCAGGAGGCTGAGGAGGAGAATCACTTGAACCTGGGAGGTGGAAGTTGCAGTGAGCCAAGACCGTGTCACTGCACTCCAGCCTGGGCAACAACAAAGTGAAACTCCATCTCAAAAAAAAAAAAAAAAAAAAAAGGTACTACCAGAAAATCATGTTCAAATGAGAGAATCAAATTTTACTTTTGTATCAGTGTATTAACTAATACTAAAGCAAATTTCAATAAAACTATATGGCCAGGCATGGTGGTTCACACCTATAATCCCAACACTCTGGGACGCCAAGGTGGGAAGATCATTTGAGGCCAGGAGTGCAAGACCAGCCTGGGCAACACATCGAGCGAGACTCCATCTCTATAAAACAACAGTTTTTTAATTAGCCAGGCATGGTGGCACATACCTGCAGTCCTAGCCACTTGGGAGATTGACACAAGAGGAATGCGTAAGCCCAGAAATTTGAGATTACAAATGAGCTAAGACTATATAACAATACTCCAACCTGAGTCACAGACCAAGACCCTGTCTCTTAAAAAAAAAAAAAAGATGAATAAATATTAATAATAACCTTATAAACAAATAGATCCAGTCAGCTTTGACTACGTAAGAATTCCATAAGCTTTTTATAACCCCCTTCGTTTTTAAATTTTTTTCTCTAACTTCTTACATCCATTTATTTTTGTGTATAACATTTTTCCATACATTTATTCTTTTTTTTTTTTTTTTGAGACGGAGTCTTGCTCTATCACCCAGCCTGAAGTGCAATAGCTCGATCTTGGCTCACTGCAACCTCTGCTTCTTGGGATCAAGCAATTCTCCTGCTTCAGCCTCCCGAGTAGCTGGGACTACAGGTGTGTGCCATCACGCCCGACTAACTTTTTGCATTTTTAGTAGAGATGGAGTGCACCATGTTAGCCAGGATGGTGCACTCTCAATCTCCTGACCTCCTGATACACCTGCCTCGACCTCCCAAAGTGCTGGGATTACAGGTGTGAGCCACCATGCCCAGCTTGTGCGTGTGTGTGTGTGTGTGTATGTGTGTGTGAGTGAGTGACAGTCTTGCTCTGTGGCCCAGACTGGAGTACAGTGGTGCAATCTTGGCTCACTGCAACCTTTGCCTCCCGGGTTCAAGTGATACTCCTACATCAGCTTCTTGAGTAGCTGGGATCCCAGGCACATACCATCATGCCCAGCTATTTTTTTGTTTGTTTGTATTTTTAATAGAGACGGGGTTTCACCATGTTGGCCAGGCTGGTCTTGAACTCCTGAGCTCAGGTGATCCCCCCACCTCAGCCTCCCAAAGTGCCACATATTTATTCTAAAACAACCTTTACAAAACCTTTAGTTAGCCGAACGTTTTTCTTTTTTTTGTTGTTGTTACTGTTTCAGTGGTTAGAAACAAAAATTTTTTAACAAAAGAATATATCCTTGGTTGGGTGCAGTGGCTCATGCCTATAATCCCAGCACTTTGGGAGGCCAAGGCGGGTGGATCACAAGGTCAAGAAATCGAGGCCATCCCAGTCAACATGGTGAAACCCTGTCTCTACTAAATAGACAAAAATTAGCTAGGCATGGTGGTGCATGCCTGTAGTCCCAGCTACTCAGGAGGCTGAGGCAGGAGAATTGCCTGAACCCAGGAGGTGGAGGTTGCAGTGAGCCGAGATCGAGCTATTGCACTCCAGCCTGGGAAAAAAGAGTGAAACTCCAGCTCAAAAACAACAACAACAACAACAACAACAACAACAACAACAACAAAATATATATATATATACACACACATATCTCATAACTTTTCTTCACTAAAAACATGTTGCTTTTACTGTACTCTGTATGCAAAATTCTTACTTTTAGTAGTTTTAATTACATATATTAATTTGAATTTTAACTTAGTAACACCAGTTTCTAGTGAAAACCCAGGAAGTCAGTGATTTTGAATTGTTTTATATCAGTGTTTGCAGACAAGAGCCATGCAATAATTTCTAAAAATATGTTTTCTCAATTTGTTGATCAATGGATCCAAATATATTTAGCTGTCTGTATCACATGAAGCAAGACATCAAAAATTAAAAAAAAAACAAACAGAACTTGAGAATAAGTGGAAAAAAGTGAAAAAATAAACCAAGACATCAAATATATAAACTTAAACTTATGTTTAATAATTAATGTTTCAGCATTTTCACTCACTAACTTAGAAATAACTCAAACATTTAATTTTTTTTTTTTAAGAGATGGGGTCTCACTATGTTGCTTGGGGCTCAAATCATCCTCCCATCTCAGCCTCCCAAAGTGCTGGGATTAGAGGCATGAGCCACTGTGCTCAGCCACCTCAAGACAATTTATAATTATCTGTTACCTAATTTAATATAACATGACTTTATGATTTTAAATTACTGAAAAGATTTTTGAAACTATGACAAGTTTATTTGTAGATGCTTATTCCATTCACACTTACCTAATTTACTTGTTCTTAACAACTGTATTTCATTTGCTTATGGAAAGCAAAACTACCCATTTAAGTTACTTATTTATTTTCATTAAGTCCCTTCCATTCGAGAAAGTTATTTATTTTGAAAAAACAAAGCCACCGGGCATAGTGTCTCACACTGCCAATCTCAGCCCTTTGGGAGGCCAAGGCAGGAGGATCACTTCAGCCCAGGAGTTTGAGACCAGCTTGGGCAATATAGTGAGATCCCCCATCTCTACAACAAATACAAAATAATTAGTTTGGTGGGGCATGTACCTAAAATAGGAGCCCAAGGAGTTCAAGGCTGCAGCAAGCTATCATGGTGCCACAGCACTCCAGCCTGGGTAACAGAGTGAGACTCTGTCTTAAAAAAAATAAGAATGGCCAGGTACGATGGCTCAGGCCTGTAATCCCAGCACTTTGGGAGGCCAAGGCAGGCAGATCACCTGAGGTCAGGAGTTCTCAAACCTGTCTCTACTAAAAATACAAAATTAGCCAGGTATGCTGGTGCATGATTGTAATCCCAGGTATTTGGGAGGTTGAGGCAGGAGAATCACTTGCACCTGGGAGACAGAGGTTACAGTGAGCCAAGATTGTGTTATTGCACTCCAGACTGGGCAACAAGAGCGAAACTCCATCTCAAAAATAATAATCATAAAATTAAAATAAAAAGTAGCCGGCACAGTGGCTCATGCTGTAATCACAGCACTTTTGGAGGCTAAGGCGTGTGGATAGCCTGAGGTCAGGAGTTCAAGACCAGCCTAGGCAACATAGTGAAACCCTGTCTCTACTAAAAATATAAAAACTTAGCTGGGTGTGGTGGCAGGCACCTGTAATTCCAACTACTGGGGAGGCTGAAGCAGGAGAATCACTTGAACCCGGGAAGTGGAGGCTGCAGTGAGCCAAGATCACACCATTGTACTCCGGCCTGGGCAACAAGGGCAAAACTTCATATCAAAAAAAATTAATAATAATAATAAAGCAAAGAAAACACAAAACTAACCTAACCCTTCATCAGCCAGTCTCATCTTAACCAAGGCCTTTAAGATATT